TAAGTTCCATTTAGTCGAAATGATTGCGAAAACCATGGGTTATAGCCTATAAAAATTGGAATTACGAATACTTAATTGCTATTTGGTCAAAATGAATGAAAATTGGCTAAAATTATGGGTATAGCCTATGAAAATCATAAATCTTTATATACACATTAGTATTCCTTCAGTGGAAATGAGAAAAATTGTAGAAAAATATGGGTTATAGCCCTTGAAAATTATGAATTTTGAATTATGCATCATCAATTGCCAATTGGTTAAAATGGATGAAAATTATCGAAATCATGCGTTATAGCCCATTTAAATTGAAATTTATTATGTGCACATAATTCCCATTTCGTCGAAACAAACAAAAATTGGAAAAATAATGGATTACAGCTTATAAAAGTTATGAAGTTTGAACTAATTGTACACATTGTCATTTGGTCGAATTGAACAAATGTTGGCAAAAATCATGGATTTCCCATCAATCGCAAATTTTTATGTACACATAAGCAAATTTTCATTCGGTTGAAATAAGAATTGAAAAAAATTATGGATTGTAACGCATGAAAGTCACAAAATTTTTAAGTACACATACATAATTACCATTTGAATTAAAAGAATAAATATTTTTTAAAATGTGCTTTATGTATACCCTATGAAAATCATGAATTTTGAAGCATGCATGCGTAATTGTTATTTGGTCGAAATAAATATAAAATAAAAAAATCATGGGTAGCACATGAAAATCTCAAATTTTAATGTAGATATAATTTTAAAAAATCGTCATTTGGTCGATTGAATGAAAGTTGATAAAAAAAATAGTGGGTTATAGTCCATAAAATTAGTAAATCTTTATTTATAGATGCTAAATTTTTATTCGATTGAAACGAGAAAAAAGTAAAAAAATTCATGGGTCATATCTCATGACAATTATGAATTTTGAAGTGCTCGTACTTAATTGTCGTTTGCTCGAAATGAATGAAAATTCACAAAAGTAATAGATTATGACCCATGAGAATTGAAAATCTTTACATAAACATACATAATTTCCAACTGGTTGAATATCGCAAAAATCGTTGGTTATAGCCCAAGAAATTATGAATTTTGAATTGTGTACTTAATTTTCATTTTGTTGAAATGAACAAAAAGCTAATAAAAACATGCAGTATAGTCAATAAAAATCGCAAATTTTTATGTATGCATCTTTAATATCCATTTGGTTGAAAGGAACAAAACTTGATTGTTGATTATTATACCCAATGAAAATCATGAATTTTGAACTATGCGTACTGAATTACCATTTGGTCAAAATGCACAGAAATTGACAAACATCATGATTATAGCTCATTAAAATTGCAAATTTTACGCACATCTTTAATTCCCATTTGGTTGAAACGGGTGGAAATTGCAAAAAACATGAGTTATAGCCCGTGAAAATCAAAAATTTTGAACTACGCATATTTAATTGTCATTTGGTCAAAATGATTGAAAACTAACAAAAATCATGTGTTATAGACCTTAAAATTCGCAAATGTTTATGTTCACATACTTAAATTCCTTTCGATAAAAAAACAAAAATTGAAAAAATCATGGGTTACAGGTGATGAAAATCATGAATTATGAACTATTTGTACTTAGTTTTCATTTGGTTGAAATGAACTAAAATTGACAAAATTCATGATTTCTTGCCCATGAAAATCATAGATTTAGAACTATGAGTATTAATTGCCATTAGGTCAAAATGAGCCAAAATTGATAAAAATCATGGGTAGCTCATGAAAATCACTTATTTTTATGTACACATTTAATTTCATTTTGTCAAAACAAATAACAGTTGCAAAAATCATGGATTATAGCTAATGAAAATCATGAATTTGTATTTATGTATATTTAATTGTCATTGGTCAAAATGAATAAAACATGACAATAATCATGGATTCTCGCCCATGAAAATCACAATTTTTTGTACGCACATACTTAATTTTCATTTGGTCGAAACAAATAAAAGTTGCAAAAATCATGGTATCCCATGAAATCATGAATTCATAACTACGCATGCTTAATTGTCATTTGGTCATAATCTATGTTACCCGGGTACTTCATTATTGAAGCCGTACCCATACCGGACACGTACCCGACACTTTCCCGTACCCAAACTTCATGGACACTTCTTGAATATATGCATGCATTTATTACAACATGTACTCAATTATACGATATATGTGTTAATTTAAAACACTTGTCAAAGACTTCCTAGACGTAGAGCTTACACTTCACATCCGTCTTTTGAAACTAATGGGATACGGGTCGGGTTCATTTCAGTCCATACTCAAGTTCAAAACTATATAGTTCAAAATGAGTAGTTTACAATTCACGATAGTCAATATGATAAAATAAACTCAAAAATGTGATCGAAATTTTCAAAATGAGTAGTTTACAATTCACGATAGTCAATATGATAAAATAAACTCAAAAATGTGATCGAAATTTTAATTCTAATGACACATGAAGCAGAAAAAAATTATCTCATGTACATTATTAATTCAATATATATATGTAGTTTGAACCCGTACCCAATATTTTACAGTTTTGTCGTGTCCCCTACCCGTACGGTGGTACCCGCATCCGTACCAGTACCAGTTTCCATGCAACTTAGATCTAGGTAATAATATTAGTTCTAAATTTTTAATTAAAGTAAAAATAGCTTTCTACTCTATTTCCTATGCAAGGAATATAGTTTTAACTTTTGGAATATTGATCTAAAGTGAATTATTTTATATATATATAGTCGTGTCCCCGTACCCTACTTTTTATAAATTTGTCGTGTCCCGTACTCGTACCCGCACCCGCACCCGTACCTAGGCAACATAGGTCATAATGAATGAAAATTGAGAAAAATCATGGGTTATATCCCATGAATATCACAAATTTTTTATGAAAACATAAATTTTATTTGGTCGCAACGAACAAAAGTTAGGAAAATCATGAGTTATAGTCTATGAAATTCATAAATTTTGAACTACCCATAGTTAATTGCTATTTGGTTGAAATGAATAAAAATTACTGGTTATAGCTTATTAAATCATGAATTTTAAGTTGCGCATACATAATTGTCATTTGGATAAAATGAACTAAAATTGTGGGTTGTCTATGAAAATCGCAAATTTTGATGTAGATATAAGTAAATATCAATTCGGTTTAAACAAAGAAAAATTGATAAAAATCTTGATTATAGCCTATACAAATTGCAAACTTTTATTTACATATACTTTATTACCATTGAAAGAAATGAACAAAATTGAAAAAATGGCGGGCTATATCCCCTAAAATCTTGAATTTTAAAGCACGCATACCTCATTGCCATTAGGTTGAAATGAACGAAAATCGACAAAAACCTTGGGTATATAGCCTATGAAAATCGCAAATTTTGATGTACACATAGTTAATTCTCATTTAATCAAAATTTAAAAAAAATTGCAAAAATCATGAGTTATAGCCCACAATAATTATGAATTTAAAACTAGGCGTACATTGCCATTTGGTCGATTGAATGAAAGTTGGAAAACTTGGTGGGCATATAACCCATGAAAATTGTAAATCTTTGTTCATACTTAATTTTTATTTGGTTGAAACGTGCAAAAATTGCAAAATTTGTGGGTTACTGAAGTGCTTAGTCAATCTCCGACATATCAGCAACCTAAACTTATCTTTTAACATGTTGAAAGGAAATGTTCCAAATGGTGGTGTTTCTGAATGTCAGTTTCGTATCTTTGCAAGGAAATGTTGCATTATGGGGAGCACACAGATTAGGGTTTCCATATTGCAATCCAATTTATTCTTCAATTTCCACTCAGGGAGGCATTTGTTAGGATATATCCTCCCTGTTATTGCTTCTACCATAATCCTTGTTCTTGGTTTTTGCCAATGTTATAGAAGATGCTAGGCGTTTCAGCTAACACCTAGCGCCTAGGATTTGGCTATTTTTAAATTATTTAATTATAATAATTGATAAAAATATGTATTAAATTCATATAAATTTACAAAAAATAGCAATCTTAGGTCCACAATAAACCATGTATAGTTAAATACTAAATAGCTAAAATAATAACTAACAATGTCATAGAAAGCGCTAGGAGGTCTAGGCGTTGGACTCGATGCCCAGAGCCTACATGTTTTCTTTTTTATTTTTTAATTATAATAATTGATAGTAAATATCAATGTTATTGAAGGCTTAGGTGCCGGATTGATGTCTAGGTGGATTTCTTTCTTCATTTAAGTGGTGGTCAATGAGGTTTTACTAAAGGTCGGAGGAGGTAGTGGAGATGTTCATATTTGGAGGTTAAAAGAGTTTGGAGGAGGTTGGAGGATGCGGAGGCTATAACACAGAAAATCATGATCAAGGCCTAAATGGTGCAGTCCACGTAAGCAGACAACGTTCCCCTAAACATTCACAAAACATAAGTGGGCAACCTAGGTACCACCTAGGCACTAAGCGCTAGTTAGGCATCCTAGATACCGCCTAAGCCTAGGCGTACGCCTAAGTGGACTAGGCGGAGACTTTTTAAAACAGTGGTTTTTGCATCTTGTTAGATAATGTGGGAGAGCCAAGAATATAACCCCAAATAGCACACTCTCCTACCCCTAGATTGGTCTCATACTACGAGCCTGTTTGTGCTACTGACAGCTTCACCGAAATAAACTTTCCGGGAAGGGGTACCTTTGGTTCTGTGTACAGAGAGCTCTTCTAGATGATGGTCTTCTTGTTGTCATAAAGGCCTTGAATATGCAAATCGATGGAGCTTTAAAGAGTTTTGATATTGAATGTCTTGCTTTGAGGATGGTTTGTCACAGAAATCTTGTTAGAATCATCGGTTTTTATTCCAACTTGGGTTTCAAGGCACACATGGTCCAATTCACGCCTAATGGTAGCCTTGAAAGATGGCTATATTCCCATAACTAGTGCTTGAGTTTACCTGAAAGGATTAACATAGTTATACTTATCGATCTGCCTGTAGCTATGGAGTACCTCCATCATTACCATTCTCAGTTGTTCTCCATTGTGATGTGAAACCGACTATCATTCTTCTCGATGATTTTGGCATTGCAAAATGACTGACTGATGATGACCAAAGTGTAACCTCAGCAAGCATACCTGGGACAATTGGCTATATAGTTCCAGGTAATTAAAATTTACAAGCTTTTACCTCAAATTTATTCAGATTACATGTCACTCATATTGCTTTTTTTGTATGTATGCATGGAGTAGAGTACGCATCGACTGGAAAAGTTTCAGCTGCGAAAGGGAGATCTCTATAGCTTCGAAATATTGTTTCTAGAAATCTTCACGAGAAAGAAGCCTATTGATCCTATGTTCACTGGAGAATCGAGCTTGAGGCAACGGGTATGCAGCGCAAATCCTAGCAGCCTGTTGGATATTGTGGACTACAATCTCTTGAAAGATGAAAATGGAAATGAAAGGCACAATGAATGACGTCTTAATTTCCGTGCAGGCTTGTGTATCTTGTATCATGGAGTTGGGAATTATCTGTTCGAGTGACTTACCTAAAGAAAGGCATGTTATGGAAGACGTTATTCCAAAATTGCAAAAGATCAAGATGCACGATTTGTCAGTGTCTGGTGTTGTTTGAAACATGCCCACACCGTACCTGTTTATCCCAAGAGTAGCGGACATTCTGTGAGATCGCGAGGCGATAATGAGAAGTACGTATTTTGTGTCTTAATTTTGTTGAGCAGATTTGGTTGATATTCTTAGTATCTTATTCTTTGCTATGAGCGGGCAACCGGAATGAGCGTGCTACCACTGGACGAGTAGTTCATGATCGATCTGCTTAAGCTTGATCATGCAACAACTCTTGACATTTTCATTCGCATCCTCATTGTATATAATTACAAAATTCCTGCTAGACGAAATGCTCTTGATATGTTATGTAAGTTTGTCTGCGCATTATTGCATGTGCAAACACACGTGCGACGGGCATTAAAACTTAAGCCACTCTAATATCCTAAAGTTTCATCGATTTTTTAAAAGGTCTTTCTAAGATATTTGCTCATTTTTTATGTAATATTTTAGTCCTTTTGAAATGCTATATTTTATCTGATCTTATTCAAACTTGACTATGGCATATATTTCAATTTGAGTGAGAACATTATTCTCCTTGATAATATCATTAAGAAAAAGTCCTTGTCATGTTTTAGCTTTCGATTATTATATTTAATTATTTTAAAGCAAATATTTTAACTATACACTTTCTATAATATTTACATTATAACATATTGAAACTCAAACTTTTATATTATATTTATTTTTATCTTTTTTTTTGGGAAAAATCCTTATCTTTGATATCAATATATCTCTTATAATGGATAATATGTTGTACATTTAATTAGTAAGCTGTAATTATATGTTCATGACAAAGTTTAGAAAGTTCTAGGGTGCAAAAATTTTAAAAAAAAAGGAAAAGGGAAAAGTATCTGCTATAAGATTACATCTTCCAAATACTAGAGGAATGAAGTTCACTATCCTCACTATTTCCCTTCCCATTCCTTTATATAGGGCACCATAGATGCTTGTAGCCATTATTGCACTATAGATGCTTGTAGCCATTACTCCACCCACCCCACCCCCACCCCCCACCCCCCCCTCCCCCCCCCCCCCCAAAAAAAAAAAAAAAAAAAAACAACCCACCCCCACCACCCCCCATTCAATTATAACCTTTTTTTCCTATGAAACCATAAACTTTACGGCCCACCTGCACCAATGGGTACTCTTTAGTCTTACATTAAAAAGCACTACAAATAGTTGCAAGCTAAAAGCTAATCAAGTTGCTGGTTCTTTATCCTATTATGTTCACAGCCTGAAATTATTTTAGAATATATATCATCTTGTGCTTCTTATATAAAGAAAGTTTGATGTAAATTAATTATCCCAACTTGCTCCACTTGCTTGATGAACGTGGAAAAGGGATCCAGAAACAAAGCCATGCTGGCACATGCCTATTCATCATCTCGAAGGTTCAAAGAACCTGGGGAAATAACTTAATGCAAAGTAAATTCAGTCACAAGTAAAATTATACGTGCATTCTCTGTACTCGATAATACATAGTACATAGGCGAAGATAATTCTTTTAGGATATTTTTCGTAAATATGTGTATCAGCCAAATTATATGTATTTTAAGTTTTCGTATTATAATGTTTTCCCTCAAAGAAATAGCTGGTTCATCTTCCAAATTGTTTTGGTTTCATCCTCCAACTTTACTATTGTTAAAATTGGGTTTAAAGATAAAACTAGGTAAACAAATGGACCTAAAAATAAAAAGCCCAATTTAGAGTAATTATAACTCAATACTTTATTAGAGTATATATAACTACCTTCTGAGCCATATGTTAATCATTGTACCAAGACAAATAACATAAAGTAATTATAACTCAATACTTTATGGAGTAATAAAGAAAGAGTTCAAATAAAAATTTATGCACATGCGCTAAAAATCGGAAGCTTCCCAGAACAGAAAACAACCTCATCATCTCTTTTATCCAAATTCCGAAAGTCTCCAACATGCATCTAACCTCGTATATATACAACTCCTCGCTCTTCTCTCTTCCACATCAAAAACCAACTTCACGCTCAAATTCTCTAGCCAACTTCTTACATTCTCACCCCCCATTAATCCATCAAACATGTACTCCGACCAAAACCAGAGCCCTTCCAGCTCCGACCTCGCCCTCCTCGACGCCATCCGCCGCCACCTCCTCGACGAAGAAGAAGACCCTTCACCCTTACATTGCAACTGGCCCGGGCCTCAATTCAGCCCGGCCAAACTGGGCGGCATGCTCATCCTCAACTACATCGAGAACACGAGCAGCGGCCATTTGGATCGACGAGACGGTTAAGCGCAAGGCCCCTCAGCCACAGGCGGCAGCGCTGAGCGAGATGGGTTAGGCATTACAGAGGCGTCAGGCGCCGTCCGTGGGTAATGTACGCGGCCGAGCATTAAGGGACCCTGCCAAGAACCGGAGCCCGGTTTGGCTGGGACGTTGAGGATGCCGCGCTGGCGTACGACCGCGCCGCGTTCCGAATGCGCGGGTCGCGTGCGATCCTGAACTTCCCGCTCAGAGTGGGCGAGCATCGAGCGCCCTCGTCAGAAACCGACGTATCGTTGAAGAGGTCGAATCTGCCGACTGAGCCTTGCGCTCCTACTAAGAAGAGGAGGAGGGAGAATTTTTGTTGATCGGTGATTTTTCTTGATTTCTTTGTGAATAGACGTGTGAGGATTTTATTTGTTTTATTTTTTTTCATTCATTAATTTTTGAGGGAAATTTTTCTCTGTTGTTGGATACTCCCGTTTGGCAAAGGGTTAATGAGGAGGGGTTAAAGAGAATGATTAATGTACTTAGCTCATTTGATAATCCAAAGAACTAAATTATTAATCCGTTAAATAAGTTTTATTTTAGCCCTTATGATCAGTTTTAGTGTTTGGGAATAACAATGATTTTGACTATTTTCTTTATAATTAGAAGGGTTAGTTAACCCTTATTCCATCTAAATAGGAGTACTAGTAAACCCCTAATTTTGAGGGGTTAACTCATTTTAACCCCTCTAGAGGGGTTAACTTAACCCTTCTATATTTTTTATGTTTGGCAAATTATGGAGGGTTAACTCATTTTAACCCTTATATAGATTTGTTGTGTTTGGCAGGTTAAGAAGGGGTTAAGTCTCCTTAACCCCTCACTAAACCCTTTGCCCAACGGTACCAAAGGGTTTACTAGGAGGTTTAATCACTTGCTATGCTTGATGGAATTTGGTCAAATTTACTCTGTTTGGGTATAAATGTGTGGATACAGAGTACCCTGTTTGGCTCTTCTAACTGTTAAATAAATTTTAGTGAGAAATTGAGAACTATGGCACATGAATCCTAGCAACTAAACATGACTGATGAAAGTGTAGCCCAATAAATGAAAGGTGCTTAGAGAAGTATTACCAATGCCATAGATGACGCTGAAATTAGAACTCGAATTATCCTCGAATATAAAAATTTCAATTTATGGGTGTACTGTTGAAGCAATGCATGAGAAATAACACATCTCACACTGAGACTACGTAGAAAGTAAAGGAGAAACATGAAACGGGATTAAAGTAAAAAAAAAGGAAAACTATAAAATGATAAGGGGTAATTTTCTCAAGGAACCTAATATACTGGGGTATTTCGTATGATAGTGTTGGGGATTCGAAACAATCAATCGAACACTTGCCCTTCCGGACCTTGTGTTGAAAGTAGGAAAGTAGGAACAATACCACAAATAAAGATCTAACCTTGTAAAAACAGTAAAGGAGACGAACACACAGATTTAACGAGGTTCGGCAACGTGCCTACGTCCTCGGGAGCCACACCACACAATCTCTTTATTAATTGAAGAAGAAAATACAAGCTCTCAAACAAGGGGTTAATCTCTCTGAGATTCTCTCTCTCTTTGCAGTAAAAAAGCTCTCTTTTTGATGTAGTACAAACCCTAAAATCGTTTGGGGGTATATATAGAATCCTGGTTGAAACAAAATCTCAAAAGGAACAGAAAACTGCCAAAACTACGTCCGGTCGACCGGCCCGGTCGACCGAACAGACTTCGGAGAGTTTGACGGTCGACTGGCGCGGTCGACTGATGCAAAACCAGAGAGCAGTTTCTCCTACAGGGTTTTGGCGGTCGACCGGGCCGGTCGACCATG